TCAGCCTCCCAAAGGCACGGGATTACAGGCTGAGCCACCGAGCCCAGCCAGAATTGGTATTCTTAAACTGACACTTGAACATATTAACCCCTCAAAATTATTATGTTACAAACTCATAGTGAATTCATCTTCCCTGTCATGTTCTATATATGTTTTCTTTGAGTTGGAGTCTCACTCTGTCACCCATACTAGATAGAGTGCAGTGGCAGCTCCTGGCCACCACAGCCTCGACCTGCAGGCTCCGGCGATCCTTCTTCCTCAGCCTTCAAGTAGCTGGAACTACAGGCACATGCTACCACACCCAGCTAATTTTTGATTTATTGTAGAGATGAGGTTTTGCCAAGTTACCCGGGCAGGTCTCCAACCCGTGGGCTCAGGCAATCCACTCACCTCAGCCTCCCAAAGCACTGGGATTACAGGCTGAGCCACCGAGTCCGGCTCCCTGTCATATTCTAATACTAATACTGTAAAAGGGAAAAACAGGAAAGGCCTGTTAGTGCACAATTTGACAATTTCAGCAATTGCTTGCTTCAAATAATAAAGTGTATTGATACAATGCCCTTTAACACTAATTCCAGCTAGTGGTATTAGGACCCCTCTTATAAATTTCTATACTTAACTTGATCATGAAACATTTTCTTACCTCAATGGCCAAACCCAGAATTCTCCTTGTACTTTCCAGAGACTAGGAAAAAATATGGAGTGTTAGCATTCCAAAATATGTAGCAAAAAACAAAACAGAACAAAACTGATCATGGGCCACATTCATGATGCTACTCTAGTTTTTAAAATTGCTAGCCCAACTTTCCCTTTAAAATAAAACAAAGAAAGTTGATCACTATATTTTGGGTCACTGTCAGGTGCTTCTTAAGGGAAAATGTGGATAGTGAAGTTAATGGGAGTCATAAAAATTTTATCATCAAAGAACTAAGGATCACATGTTCTCACTCATAAGAGGACCTTGAGCAATTACTATAATACTGTAACAAAAGGATTGGCAATAACGGGAAACTGCTGGAAGGGGAGCAGGGAAGTGGGACTGGCAGTAGTGGGACTCCGCCTGGGGAAGGGGGGGGCACACCTCATCAAAAAGGGTACCTACATAATGAACATCTGTGTATCTAACCCCACATCTTTAAAATAGAAAAATTTTTTTTAAAAAATTTTTTTTTTTTTTTTGGTGAGTTGGAGTCTCTGTCACCCAGACTGGAGTGCAATGGCCGCTCCCAGCCACAGCAGCCTCGACCTGCTGGGCTCCAGCGACCCTTCCGCCTCATCCTTCCGAGTAGCTGGAATTACAGGCACACGCTATCACACCCAGCTAATTTTTTGATTTTATTGTAGAAATGAGGTCTCACCAAGTTGCCCAGGTGGGTCTTGAACCCGCAGGCTCAGGCAATCCACTCACCTCAGCCTCCCAAAGTGCTGAGATTACAGGCTGAGCCACCAAACCGGGCGAAAAAAGTTTTTATCAAGTCATAAAAATTTAATACAATTATAAATCTAAGTATATTTCGCAGATATTTGGAAATCAGTAAATAAAAGTCAGAATTCCTTAAATAAAGAGTATCTTTATTGCAAGTAACTTTTAAATAATGATGATCGTTTAAAAAAAGCATACAAATTTGAGAGGTCGATGTAAGGGGATTGCCTGAGCCCACGGGTTCGAGAACAGCCTGGGCAACTTGGCAAGACCTCACTTCTACAATAAATAAATAAACAGAATTAGCTGGGCGTGGTAGCATGCACCTGTAGTTCTGGCTACTTGGAAGGCTGAGACAGAAGGATCACCTGAGCCCAGCAGTTTGACATTGGGGTGGCTGTGAGCGTGCCACTGTACTCCAGACTAGGAGACAGAGTGAGACTCCAACTCAAAAAAAAAAAAAAAAAAAAGCATACAAATTGTTTTTACTTCGTTTTTTTGATGAAGTAAAATAAAAAAGAGCTAGCAATAATACTACGGGGCAAATATATTCTTTAAAATAATGGGACTAGGAAGGGGCCAAAATGGTCTCTGAGAAAACCCACTCATCTTACCAGTGTGAAAACTGAAACAGAATTACTTATTCAAAATAAAAGATTTACCTCATCAGTAACCTGGTGAGCCCTCTGCTGAATTTCTTCCGATGACAGATTATCCATGATGGATCAAAACTCAACCACGCACAGAAATGGAAATGTGAATATTCTATAAGAGTAAGAATACACAAAAGGTTGCGTGAGCTACTGACATAAAAACAGACACATAGACCAATGCAACAGAATGGAGAACCCAGATATAAATTCATGCATTTACAACCAACTCATCTTCTACAAAGGCACCAAGAACAAACAACGGGGAAAATATAATCTACTCAATAAATGGTGTTGGGAAAACTGGGTAACTATAAACAGCAGAATGAAGCTAGACTACTATCTCTCACCATACATAAAAATTAAACCCAAATGGATTAAAGACATGACTCTAAGACTGGAAACTATGAAACTACTAGAAGAAAACATTGGGAAAATGCTCCAGTATGTTGGTCCGGGTAAAAATTTCTTGTATACACCTCAAAGCACCAAAGCAAACTAAACAATTGGAATTACATGAAGCTAAAAAGCCGCTTTATAGCAAAACAACAAAGTGAAAAGACAACCCATAGAATGAAAGAAAATATATGCAAACTATCCATCTGACAAGAGTTTAATTACCAGAATATGGCTGGGCTCGGTGGCTCAGCCTGTAATCCCAGCACTTTGGGAGGCTGAGGCGAATGGATTGCCTGAGCCCATGGGTTTAATACCAGCCCGGGCAAATAGACGAGACCTTGTCTCTACAATAAATCAGAAAATAAGCTGGGTGTGGTGGCATGCACCTGTAGTTAACAGCTACTTGGAAGGCTAAGGCGGAAGGATCGCCAGAGCCCAGCAGGTCGATTTTAGGGTAGTCATGAGTGTGCCACTGCACTCCAGCCTGGGCAACAGAGTGAGACTCCAACTTAAAAAAAAAAAGAAAGAAAGAAAAAGAAAAATTACCAAAATATAAAAGAAGTTCAACAACTCAATAGTAAAAAAAAAAAAAAAAAAATCCAGGCTGGGCGCAGTGGCTCAAACCTATAATCCCAGCACTTTGGGTGGCTGAGGCGAGAGGACTGCCTGAGTCCAGGGGTTTGAGACCAGTCTGGACAACTTGGCGAGATTTCGTCTCTATAATAAATAAAAAAATTAGCCAGGCATGGTGGTGCACTCCTGTGGTTTCAGCCACTCGGAAGGCTGAGGTGGAAGGATCGTCTGAGTCCAGCAAGCCGAGGCTGCTATGGCCATAAGCATGCGCACTGCACTCCAACCTGGGTGACAGAGTGAGACTCCGACTCAAAAAAAGTTTTTGCCTGAGCAACTTGGCAAGACTTCATCTCTACAATAATTTTTTTAAAAAATTAGCTGGGCGTGGTGGCACATGCCTGTAGTTCCAGCTACTTGGAAGGCTGAGGAGGAAGGATCACCTGAGCCCAGTAGGTCGAGGCTGCTGTGGCCGTAAGCGTGCCACTGCACTCCAGCTTGGGTGACAGAGTGAGACTCCAATTCAAAAAATAAAAAAATAAAAATAGGCCAGGCTCGGTGGCTTAGCCTGTAATCCCAGCACTTTGGGAGACTGAGGTGAGTGGACTGCCTGAGCCTGCGGGTTTGAGACCCGCCTGGGCAACTTGGTGAGACCTCATCTCTACAATAAATAAAAAATTAGCTGGGCGTGGTAGTGTGCACCTGTAGTTCCAGCTACTTGGAAGCTGAGGTGAAAGGATCACCGGAGCCCAGCAGGTCGAGGCTGCAGTGGCTGGGAGCAGCCACTGCACTCCAGTCTGAGGGACAGAGGGAGACTCCAACTCAAAAATAAAAATAAAATAAAATAAATAAAATAAAAATAAACGTAAATTTCAAAAATGTGCAAAAGATATGAACAAACATTTCTCAAAAGAAACATTCAAAAAGACAACAGGTATACAAAAAAATGCTCAACATCACCAAACACTATTTGCAATCTTCATGCAAATCAAAATCACAATGTGGTATCATCTCATCTCAATTAAAATGGCTTGTACAAAAAAGGCGATAATGGATGCTGGTAAGAATATGGAGAAGGAGGAACCCTCATATACTGTTACTGAGAATGTAAATTAGTACAGCTACTATGGAGGTCCAGTACGAAGGTCCTCAAAAGACTGAAAATAGAATATCTTTATAATCCAGCAATTTCACTACTGACTATATATATCTAAAAGACAATGTATCAAAGAGATGTCTGCATTCCCATCTTTACTGCAATGTTTATTGCAGAACTTTTTTTTTTTTTGACTTGGAGTCTCTCTCTATGCTCAGGTTGGAGAGCAGTGGCACAATCATGGCTCACTGCAGCTTTGACCTCCTGGGCTCAGGAGATCCTTCCATCTTACCCCAAGTAGCTGGGACTATAGGCACATACCACCATACTTGGCTAATTTTTCAATTTTTCTGCAGAGATGAAGTATTACTATATTGTCTCGGTTGGTCTCGAACTCCTGGGCTCAAGCAATCAGTCCTCTTGCCTCAGTCTCCCCAAGCACTAGGATTACAGACCTTAACCACCACACCCAGCTATTGTGGTACTATTAACAATAACCAAAATATGAAATCATGAAATCAATCTGAGTGCCCATCAACACATGCACAGATAAAGAAAGTGTGGTATATATACACAATGGAATACTATTCAGCTATAAAAAAGAATAGCGGGTTCGAGACCCGCCTGGGCAACTTGGCGAGACCTCATCTCTACAATAAATCAAAAATCAGCCGGGCGTGGTAGCACGCACCTATAGTTCCAGCTACTTGGAAGGCTGAGGCGGAAGGATTGCAGGAGCCCATCAGGTCGAGGCTGCGGTGGCCGGGAGCGGCCACTGCACTCCAGTCTGGGTGACAGAGTGAGACTCCAACTCAAAAAAATAAAAATAAAAATAAAATAAAATAAATAAATAAATAAAAGAATAAAATTCTGCCATTTGCAGTAACATGTTTGGAACTGGAGGTCATTATGTTGAATAAAATAAGTCAAGCACAGAGAAGTAAATATCACATGTTCTCACACATATATGGGAGCGCAAAAAAGTAGATTTCTTGAAAATAGAAAGTAGACTGGTGGTTACCAGAAGTCAGGAAAAGGAGCAGGGGGCAAGGAAGAAGGATAAAATAAGAATGTAACCGTATTTATTACCACTGAATTATAATACAAATAATAAAGATGGTAAATTACATATGTATATTTTGCTTCAATAAAAACATTTTTAAAAAGTTTATGTGAGCCGGGCTCAGTGGCTCAGCCTGTAATCCCGCGCCTTTGGGAGACTGAGGTGAGTGGATTGCCTGAGCCCGCGGGTTCGAGACTCGCCTGGGCAGCGAGACCTCATCTCTACAATAAATCAAAAAATTAGCCGGGCGTGGTAGCGCTCGCCTATAATTCTGGCTACTCGGAAGGCTGAGGCAGAAGGTTCACCGGAGCCCAGCAGGTCGAGGCTGCGGTGGCCGGGAGCAGCCACTGCACTCCAGTCTGGGTGACAGAGTGAGACTCCAACTCAGAAAAAAAAAAAAAAAAAAGTTTATGTGAAGCCGGGCTCGGTGGCTCAACCTATAATTCCGCGCCTTTGGGAGGCTGAGGTGAGTGGATTGCTTGCGCCCGCGGGTTTGAGACCCACCTGGGCAACTTGGCGAGACCTCATTTCTACAATAAAAATCAAAAAAATTAGCTGGACGTGGTAGCGCGTGCCTGTAGTTCCAGCTACTTGGAAGGCTGAGGCGGAAGGATCGCCGGAGCCCAGCAGGTCGAGGTTGTGGTGGCTGGGAGCAGCCACTGCACTTCAGTCTGGGCAACAGAGTGAGACTCCAACTCAAAAAAAAAAAAAAGTTTATGTGAGCAAAACTGTAGATTTATGGAATTTAGGAAAGCAAGATAAAACAGCCTATCTCTCTATCTACCTATCCAATCCATCCATCTATCCCACAGGTAAAAATTAAGAGTGAGAGAGGCTAAATGGATGCTTAATGCTTGTTAGCACCTAAGGTGAACCCAAAACACAAGTATGAGGATTTCTGGTGCAGTCTTCTTTCTAGTAGGAAAGTGGTGCCTTTACTTTTTGAAATCCAAGGCATTACTGAAAGGAAAGCTTTAAGAGACTATTAAAATGAATTACTGACTGTACAATGTTCTTCATATGTTGTCTGAATATGAAAATGCCACAAAGTGAAGAAAAGTCCAAGTTACTAAGGCAACAAAACTCAAAGTCATGTGCCTGAAGAACACAGGAAACATTTCTAAATATGTCAGTTATCCAGGCCACTCATTGGAGAAAATGAAATGCTTTTATCCTTTTTAAAAATTTTTTTGTAGAGATAAGGCCTTGCTGTATTGCCTAGGCTGGTTTCAAACTCCTGGGCTCAAGCAATCCTCCTGCCTTGGCCTCCCAAAGTGCTGGAATTACAGGCATGAGCCACTGTGCCTGACCAGAAATACTTTCATTCCTAACAAGAAAAGGGTAGTACTGGTACAAAGAGCTCAGAAAAGAAGTAAGGTTTTTATTATGAGTAGAATCTTTCCCTCCACTTATTTGTATTGCTTGTTGTTTTAGGGAAGTCCCTAAGAAACTGAGCGATTATTCTCCTTTACGTAGGAACTCCAAGAGATCTCATAGACATCCAAGCTAAAAATAAAACATTTAGTAGGTGTTATCCTGTACCACTGTTGTGTATTCCTCTTAGAAGTCATGTGGAATAATAAGCACTGTGCAATGATTTTCTTTTCTTCATTACATTTGTTAACTTTATATTAAATTTTAAAAATTCATTTATCAAAGCTCTTTGTCAATGAAAGATAACATCTGGTTCATATTCTAGATCTGACCCTAGACAGCTGGCAATGTCTGAGGCATTTTTTTTTTCTGAGTCGGAGTCTCACTCTGTCGCCCAGGGTGGAACGGAGTAGCACACTCATGGGCAGCCTTGACCCGCTGGACTCAGGTGATCCTTCTGCCTCAGCTTTCCAAGTAGATGGAAGTATAGGCGCATGCTACCATGCCCGGCTAAATTTTTTTTTAATTTATTGTAGAGAAGAGGTCTCACCAAGTTGCCCAGGCTGGTCTCGAACCTCTGGCTCAGGCAATCTTCTTGCCTAGGCCTTCCAAA